GTCAGGAAGGAATCTCTGTCCCACTTCATGGGAGAGTGATGCTACCTTAGAGAGCGGGGAGGAGAAAGAGCCCTCCTGTACTCTGAGCTGCTGCTCCAGGGAGGCTAGACCGGCCTGTTGGAAAAAGTCAGGGCAGCTGGGCACCTCTTGAGGCCTCCTGAGATTGTCTCATTCCCAGCTAGTCCCTGGACTGGGCAGCTCCCGTGTAAGGGCTCGGAGGTGATGGGGAGGGGGCTGGGCAGCTGCAGGAGGGGATGTGGTTTGCTGGGCGTTGCAGGGAGCTGGCTTTGCTCTGACCACAGTAGATTTGGCCTGGAGATTGCAGAGAAACCATCTGATGGGGCGGAAAGGGGCCGAGTGCATCACGGGCTTCCTGGGGCTGCAGCCCCCGGTGCAGTTCCTCATTCCGCTCGCACTCGGGCCTCAGGCTGGGTGGAGCTCGGCACCGGGGTGTTAGTGGCAGCCCTGAGGGGTCCCCACTGCCCCATCATGGCATCTGCTCTCACCGTCCTCCTCCTCGGTGAGTATCGGAGACAGCCAGGGTGTGTGCCCATAAGGTGGGATCTGAGACCAGGACGTGTGTCCATAAGGTGGGATCTGAGACCAGGGCTGGTGTCCATGGGGGGGATGTGGGACCAGGGTGTAGGATCCAGGTGCTCTGGGATCTGGTCCCTAACACCAATTTCCTTTTCAGGCTGCTCTCTGGCCGGGCACAGCTGGGTGTTGGGAGGTGAGTATCAGTCTGTGGGGAGGATATTAACATCAGAAAGGGGCCGGGATCGGGGCGAGGAAGAGAAACTGAGCCCTGAACCTTCCCCAAAACTCCCCCTGTGAGCTCAGACCCGGCCCCGTTCTTTTGTGCCCCCCAACCCCCCCGCATGGAGTAACTAGGAGTCGAATCTGGCTCCCGGGGTCTGACGAAGCAGAGAGGAACCGTCCCCTGGTTCAACGTCCTGGTTCAATGAGCCCCCCCAAGGCCAAATGACGGATGGACTGAATTGGGGTGGCGGGAGGCAGGGGCTGTGTCTCCCCTGTTTAACTCCTGTCTCTTGTTGAAAGCAGGGCAAGAATTTCCCAAACCCACCATCTGGGTGAGCCCCAGCAGGGCGGTGGCGCTCGGGGGAAACGTCACCATCCGCTGTGCGGGTTTGTACCCGGGCATGGAGTTCTTTCTGCGTAAAGCTGGAGACCCAAATCCACAGGTGCGGACGGTGCCTGATGGGACCGTGGCTGAATTTCCCATCGCCAATGTCAGCCGGGAAGATCGAGGGAGCTACACCTGCGACTATCACTCCATAGTGGAACAGAATCGCACATCGCATCCCAGTGACTCCATTGAGGTCATTGTAGGAGGTGAGGGAGGGGCCCGGCTCAGTGTCCCGGCTCCCAGCCCCACACCCAGCCAGACCCACAGGGGGTCTCTGCACAATGGGATGCTCAGAGCCAGGCTCTGCCCTGAGCCCTGGGCCCAGCAGAGGGGACGCCCGGCCGGGGAGCAGGGACGGAGTCACTGGGGGGTTCTCCAGCCAGTGGGGAGAAGCAGCAACTGGAGACTCAGGGCTGAGGAAGGGGGGATCCCTGCTCCCAGGGGGAGCTGCAGTGCAGGGGGGGCCTTTCCCAAGCAACACATCAGTTAGGGGGTGATGGGCGGAGCTGAAGGTTATAAACCTCAGTGTATAGTAGAGACTTGCACAGTCCCCTACAAGTCAGGGGTGGTGCTGTGCACAGAACCCAGCAGTCCTGGCCCCCATCCTCCCTGCTCTCCCCACTAGACCTCAGTCCCCTCCCAGAGCCAGGGACAGAACCCAGGAGTCCTGGCTCCCAGCCCCTTCCCAGCAGAGAAGCCAGGGAGTGAAGGGACCCTGGAGACTGTCCTGGCCTGTCACCCACGAGCGAGCAGAGCTCTGGGCCCCCAGGGGCTGGGGTTGCTCCGTGTCTCATGCTGTTAGCCCAGGGCTCAGAGGAAACTCTGGCCCCTGTGGAAAGGCATCCAGGAACCCGTCCCCAGGGCCGCCGGGACTGACCCATCACTGAGGCCGCGTGGTGAGGTCGGGCCCCAGGACTGAGTGACGGGGCCTGTGTCCCACGGCCTGTCTGCTTCCCACTGCAGAGCCCAGCTACCCCAAACCCAGCATCTACCTGAGACCCAGCAGGGCGCTCTCCCTGGGGGGAGTCGTGACCGTCTGGTGTCGGGGGCAGCACCGGGGCGTGCGGTTCGTGCTGAATAAAGAGCGACACCATTTCCCACCTGTGGATTCGGACGACAATGAGGCTGTGTTTCCCATCAGCAACGTGCGCCGGGAGGACGGCAGGAGCTACAGCTGCTCCTATCACAGCAGATCGGAGCCGTTCAACGTGTCGTACCCCAGCGACCCCGTGGAGCTGGTGGTGAGAGGTGAGGGGCCCGGCTCGGCGTCCCCGTTCCCAGCCCCACCCCCAGCCAGACCCTCACGGGGGCTCGGTGCCAATGGGACGCTCAGAGCGAGGCTCTGCCCTGAGCCCTGACCCCGCAGAGGGGACCTCCAGCTTGGGAGCGGGGTCGGAGTCACTGGGGGGTTCCCCAGCCAGGGGGGAGCAGCAGTGACTGGAGACTCGGGGCAGGGAGGCGACTTTAACGCTGCCCCTTGTGCGTAGGAACCGTGAGTCGCTATTTAATCCCGTGATCCCTTCCCCTCTGTTCTCCAGGCCCCGCCCCAGACAGAGATGAATGGGGCCGGGGCTGCAGGAGAAGCGGTGGCTTGGTGGACATGGCGCTGGGCTGGGACCCAGGAGATCTGGTCCAGCTCCTGGCGTGGCCACAGACTCTGTGTGATGGGAGCACGTCGCAGTTTTCATAAGTGTCCTTCCTTGTGAAGGAGCCTCAATCTTGGGGGATCTCAGGCCGAGCGCCCACAAACCAAGACGCTCACAGTTAGTGGAGACCTCTGCAAATGCTGACCTCAATAGTGCTGGATCCCTTGTGTTGGGGGAGCATGTAGGGCCCCCGCCATGATCAGGGCCCTGTTGTGCCAGGCGCTGCATAAACACAGAGTGAAGAGACAGTCCTGGCCCCTGGGAGCTCACTAAGGAAAGTGAATCTGTCTGTGCCTCAGTTTCCCTCTGTGTAGAATGGGGATAAAGACCCCTCTCTGCCTCCCAGGGGTCTGACTCCCTTCCTGTGTGGAGCTCGGGCCCTGTGGTGCCGGGCGCCAGAGACAAGCCTGTGACTCGGGCATATGAGGATCCCAAGAACTAGGGAGCTGCGGCTCGGTGTCTGTGGGGCTGGGAGCCCAGCTCGCAGGGCCGGGATTCTGGGTGGGGGGACTCTGGGATCTGGGAGAGAATCTCTGCCCGGGGGCCCCTGGATCTGTCCATGGCTGCGGCTGGCCGGGGATGCCGGGGCTGGGGGGGTGTCCAGGACTGACTCTCACAGCCTGTCTCCTGTGCGCAGATCCCAGCTTACCCAGACCCTCCATCTCTCTGAGCCCCACTGGGGTCACCGCCCCAGGGGCAGACGTCACCATCCGGTGTCAGGGGCAGCGCCGTGACGTGACGTTCTTCCTGCACAAGGCTGGAGACCTGAACCCACCGCGACAGATGGACCCTGCTGAAGCCGGGGCCGAGTTCCTCATCCCCACCGTGGGCCGGCAGCACGGAGGGAACTACAGGTGCAGCTACCGGCTCCAATCAGAGCCCTTCGTCTCCTCGCAGCCCAGTGACCCCGTGCAGCTGGTGGTAGCAGGTGAGGGGCCCGGCTTGACGTCCCCGCTCCCAGCCCCATCCCCAGCCAGACCCTCGTGGGGGCTCCATGCTGATGGGATGCTCAGAGCCAGGCTGTGTCCTGAGCTCTGGGCCCAGCAGAGGGACGCCCGGCTGCGGAGCGGAGACGGCACAGGTGACCGGTATAATATGGAGCTGCTGCCGAGGGACGCTGGGCTGGTGTCGGGGGCTGGGGGCTGCTCAGGCCTAGCACAGTGCTGGGGTCACTCGGCATAGCATGGCTGGGGCTCAGGTCAGTTGGCTGGTGGGGCTGACCCAGGACTGGGGCCAGACTGGGATTGCTCTGGTGGCAGGGATGGGGCTCGGGGTTCTAGCTGGCCCGGGGGCAGGGAAGGGGGCCCCCTCGGCCAGTTAAACAGGCTCATTCTGCCCAAGGAGCCGCTTCCATGGGGGAGCCACAAAGGGCTGGGGCTGGGTGGGGAGAATGGCTGGTGTTACTAGGGGTATGTGGGGCCCAGACGCCGGGAGAGAGAGACCATCAGCCAGCGAGGTAGAAACCTGCACCAGCAATGCAGGGATCCTGCGAGTGGGGAGCCAGTGGAAAGGGACCTGGTGGCCTAGTTGTGTCATCGAAGGAGCCAGGCAGAGAGCTGGCAGGGAGAAAGTCCCGTTGAGAAGGGACAGAGATGGCAGGAACAGGAGGAGGCAGACAGAGGAAAGACAGAGGCATGAGGGGGAAAGTTAGAGGAAGAACCGGGCAGTGAAACACAAAGAAAAAAGAGTCTCTAAGTTACAAAGCAATTGTTAGAAAACCGCAGGAGAAGTAAAGCACGAATGAAACGTGACAGAAACCGGCTGTGAGCAAAGAGAAACGGGCGGAGAAATGAGGAGGAAGTGAGCTGTAGTGAAAGTAAAACTAACAGTGCGGACAAAACGTCCCCCCAGCACCTTCAGGGGAAGCGACAGGAGGAAAGAAATTGTCCGAGAGCAAAGGGGCTGTAAAAAAAGCAGCGGAGGGACAGTTGTTCGATTGAGAAGCCGACCCATTGCCTGGAGAAATAGCTGCAGGTATCTGAGCTGGAACTCAGAGCAGCAAACAGAGACGGCGCAAGGGGACGGCTCAAGACACAACAAACCAGCCTAAGAAGAGAGAAGCGGCGAAGGGACCGTCGAGCGGTGGGTTCTGGCCTAGTGCCTTGGACGTTCTAACGCCAGATCCTGGTGCTCCAGGAATGTAAATTGCTGCCCAGGAAGTGGGATGAATTCAGCCAATGGTAGTTACTGTCCAGGCGAGCTCAGCAATAGTTCCCAGTGTGACCCTACCCAGCAGTTCCTGCTACACCAGCGAACTCTGATTCACTTGTGATCATTCCCCACTCAACTGATTTCTCCTTCCCCAGCTGATGGAGATAAAACGCAATTGGCCTTTAGGTCCCCTCGGCCTCTCCTTGCCCTGCCCCAGCCACCCCTCCACGGGCTCCTTGCAGATGGATCTGCGCCATTGCCCTGCTGAGGGGTGGGGGACCCCGTGTCTCTTGTGTCGCTAGCCCAGCTCTCTCGGTCTTGGATTTGGGGGAAAAGCATCCAGGAGACTCTCCCAGCAGGCCCCTGTATCAGCCTCATCACTGGGGCCGGGCTGTGGG